AAAAAAAAAAAAAAAAAAAGCAGGTTTTGTTAGTGTCTAACCTTCTTGATCCCCAGTACCACTCAGAGAAGAGAAAACAAACCACTGTAATGTTGGTGACTCAGACAAACCAGATATTGACATATTGTTAAAAGCAATGACTATACCACCACTAACAATAGAAAAGATATCAGCAATAATAAAGGCTAAAAATTAATAAAGTTAATTGTAATAATAAAATGAAAGGGATGGGGAAAGGGAAAAATGAAGTAAAATTTGAAAAAGAAAAAATAGGAAGATGAGAGAAAAGGAGATAAAAATCTGATTAAAGAATAAAAATAGAGGGGCCAGGGATTTAGCTCAGTGCCACCACACCTGCCTCACAAGTACAAGGTACCAAAAAAAGGAGAGGAAAATGTAAGTGGAATTAGGTTAAAAGTAACAGCAAAAACAGAATACAAAAAAGAAAGGATAATAAAAAGAAACAAAACCCTAGGACAAAACAATTTTTTTAAAAAGCACAAAAAGAAACAATCAGGGAGGATGGAGACCTGGCAGGACCTGGATGGACTGAGGTGGCTCGGCCCAGCAGTTGCAGGGATGAGCACTGGGGAGGATGTTGGGCCCAAAAGCCCAGGGAGGGCCCCAGAGCTCCAGGTTACCACCAAAGAACATCATTCTAGTCTAGGGGCTCCAGTTTCTGAAGCTGAAAAAAACCAGAATACTCTCCAGCTAGAACAAGAAGTGAAAAACCAAGATAAATTCATTTCTACACTGAAATTATAGATTGAAGATCTCAGACAAATCATGGCTTGGAAGAATATGTTAGGAAACTCTTGGATAGTAAGGAAGTGGTAAGCAGTCAAGTAGATGATTTAACCAACCACAGTGAGCATCTTTGTAAAGAATTAATTAAAATTGACCAACTAGCAGAGCAACTAGAAGAAGAGAAAAATTTTGTGGTGGATACCACTGACAAGGAACTTGGAGAAGCAAAGATTGAACTTATATACCAACAAAATAATAAAACAGTATTGGAAAATAAAAAGGCTTAGATCTATAATTTTAAAGACTAAAAAAGCACAAAATCAGTTTCCTTCTAGAGTTCATTCTTTTGTCAAGACTTTAGAAGCAGACCGATTACTACAAAAGTGAAGCTCAACATTTGAAAAAAATGGTCAGAAATAGATCTAAAAGCCCAAGACGCCCATCTCCATCTTCCAGGGGTGGAAACTGTGATGTAGAGCTTTTGAAGTCAACAACAAGAGATTGTGAAGAACTCAAATGCATGCTGGAAAAATATGAGCATCATTTGGCAGAAATTCAGGGTAATGTCAAGGTTCTTACATCTGAGAGAGACAAGACCTTCCTTCTTTACGAACATGCACAGGAGGAAATTGCCTGACTTCAATGAGAAATAATGAAAAACTATAAGTCTCCTAAATCAACAATAGCACATGCTATTCTCTGGTGAGTGGAGACAGAGAGAGATGTAGCCTTCACTGATTTATGAAGAATGATCAGAGAGACAGTCTGAGGGAAAGGGTAAAGATTGCTCAAGAGACAACATTTAATGAGAAGGCCCATTTGGAACAAAGAATAGAAGAGCTGGAGTGTACAGTTCATAATCTTGATGACAAATGGATGGAGCAAATGTCAAATATGACTTTGATGAAGGAAACCATAACCACTGTGGAAAAAGAAATGAAATCACTAGCATGAAAGGCAGTGGATACTGAGAGTGAACTTGGCAGACAAAAAGCAGAGAATAATTCTTTGAGGTAACCAAAATAACTTATACTGTTACTGATAGCTCTGCCCTTTTAAATATATTTTATAATGAAAATTAGG